GGCAAACTGATGCAGCAATGGAGATGCTCACTCTTCTATGCCGATAAAATTAGAAGATAGCTACTTAGCCAACTGGTTGGAAGAGATCCATATTTGTGCCTATTCCAAAGAAAGTGACCCAGCAGAATGCAGAAATCATTGAACAAAATCACATGCAAGTAAAATTTTGCTTATGATAATTAGAAATCATTTGCAGCAGGAAGCTGTCAGAAATTCAAAGCTGGATTCAGAAGATGACATGGAACTAGGGATATCATAGCTGATGTCTGATGGATCTTGGTTGAAAGAAGAGATTACCAGAAGGATTTTTTGACTATGCAAATGCATTAGACCATGTGGATCATAACAAACTATGGATAACATTGGAAAGAATGAGTATTCCAGAATATTTACCTGTGCTCCTGAGGAACCTACATATAGACCAAGAGGCAGTGTTAGAACAAGGGGACACGGAATGATTTAAAATCAGGAAAGGTGTCCATCAGGGTTTGTATCCTTTCACCACACTTATTCAATCTGTATACTGAGCAAATAATTCGGGAAGCTGAATATATGAAGAAGAATATGGCATTAGGACTGGAGGAAGACTCATTTAACAACCTGCAATATACCTTGCTTGCTGGAAGTGAGGAGGACTTAAAATACTTACTGATGAAGATCAAAGACTACAACCTTCAATATGTATTGCATAGAAATCATAAATGATCACTATTGGAACAATAAATAACATGATAAATGGAGAAAGATGGAATTTGTCAGACTTCATTTTACTTGGATCTACAATCAACACTCATGGAAGCAGCAGTCAAGACATCTAACGATTAGGCAGATCGACTGCAAAAGACCGCTCTAAAGTGTTCAAGAGCAGAGATGTCAGGATGAAGACTGATGTGCATCTGACCCAAGCCATGGTATTTCAGTAGCCTCATATATATGTGAAAGTTGGACAATGAATAAGGAAGATGGTAGAAAACTTGGTGCATTTGAATTACAGTGTTGGCAAAGAACATTGAATATTGGTGCATTTGAATTATGATGTGGTAAAGAAGTGTCACGGATTGCGGGAAGAATGAACAGCTCTGTCTCAGAAGAAGTACAGCCAGAGCACTCCTTAGAAGTGAGGCTGGTGACAGCTTGTCTCTCATACTTTGGACATGTGGACAGGTGGAATCATCATTCCCTGGAGAAGGACATCATGTTCAGTAAAGAGGAAGGTCAGCAAAAAAGAAGACTTCTAACAAGAGAGACTGATACAGTGGCAAAAAAAAAAGGCTCAAACAGCAATTGTCAGGATGGCGTAGGACTGGGCGCTGTTTCATTCTGTTGTGTACAGACAGGGTCACTATAACCAACGTGACAGCACCCAACAACGACAACGTAGAAAAGAGAACGCACCTATATGTCATTGTTTTTCAGACTTCATATGTATTTACTTGTATTTGTTATAGTTTTCTTATTTGAATTAGAAGCAGAATTGTAGCTTACAAAAATGTACAATATTCTTCCATGGTCTGTGCAAATATGAATACTTTTTAAAAAAACTGTTGTTGAAAGAACATGTTCTTTGCAGGTCTGTGGACTTTAGGAGTGGTTTTTCATGTGATTTAAAGATACAGAAGCACTTGCCCTTGGCTCCTCATTTCCTAAAACCCAAGAATATTGGGAAAAGTCGTTTCCAGTATAGAACTGTGGGGAGACAGAGGTGCCTCCACCTCCTTTGGGGTACAGTTGTGGCAAAGTGCATTTTCGTACACAGACTTGGTGTATTAACCTCTCCCTGCCTTACAGGGGCGGGGGTTAGGGTGGTGGTTCCTGCCACTGAGTTCTGGACATGCTGACATTTGGATGGTACTGGGTCAATTGAATGTGGTAGTGGAGGCGACAAGCTCCAGATTCCATTTGGGCTTCACATCATGTGTAGCTGTGTGATCTTACTAAAGAGGATCATGACAGTAAGAGTGCCAGACTGGTAGCTATTACGAGGAGAAAATGGCATAAGGAAGAATAAAGTACTTGACATTGAGGCCGGAACTTACGACATAGTAAATGTGTGAATGATTATTAGTGTATTCTTACCATGAAGTCCTGGTGTGGTGCTGTGGGGTAAAACGCTAAACCACAAGGTCAGCAGTTTAAACTCCTTGGAAACCCTACCCAGGGTCGCTATGGGTTGGAACTGACTTGGCAGCACTTCACAATGACAACTCCTTTCCATGGAGTCCTTTGTGGCGCTGTGGGACAAGCACTGGACTGCTAACCACAAAGTTGGAGTTTCAGTCCCACCAGCCACTCCTTGGAAATCCTACACAGAGTCTCTATGAGTTGGAGCCAACTGAAGAGCCCTAAACAGTGACAACAACATTCTTTTCCATACATTACAGGTGATATGTGGAGGGTGCTCAGCATAGGTGAAATATGGTTTCAGTCTAATTTTCAGGTATTTGTAGGCTGCATGTGCTTGTGTAGCTACATTTGGAAACCTAATGATTGTTTATAGCTGGGAAATGGGTTTAAAATAGCCATCTTGAAACAGATTCTTAGGACATAATGCATTTATGAATGGGGACCGTCTGTATGTACTCTCATTTTTAGCTTGTTGGGAGACTGTTTCATCTCTCATGTTGCTAAATTACAGCGAGGGTCTTCTTTACTGACAGCATATCATATTCCTTTATAATCAGCCAGTTGGCCCTCATCACATGACTGGACGAGACAGTTCCATTAAGCACACCAGAAATTCATTACTGAATGGTTTGCATGGCAGTGCACCTTTAGTGCTTTGTTCTTTTAACCTTCATGCTGTGGTGCACTGTGATGTTCACAACCACAAAGGTGATTTGTATTACTCCACTAGGACCAGTGCAAAGAAAACCATCGACTCAGATTGCAGCAGGCTGAAGAAAGTATAAAATATTTTCATCAACATCATAGCATTCAGATGGTGAGTAACTGAAGGAAAATGTCTTCTGTTTGCATAATGTGACAACTGGCCTCAGTTTGTGGGGATCCGTGCTCCCCAATCTGGGTCTGGGGCTGTCAGCCGTTCTCCGGGTGACTGCGGTTAAGTCCAAGCACCCAGGGAACAGGCACAGAGGGGTGTGGTAATGTGAGGTCACAGCCCCTTTCTTTGTCAAAACTTTCATTTTGAGAAATTTGTAAGTCTGTGTTTAAATTTAGAAAAGAGACAAGATAAAAGATGAGGAACAAAAGAAAAAAGAATGGATAAACCAGGAACGCCAAAAAACACTGCAACGACTAAGAGCCTTTAAAGAGGTAAGTTCGTTCCTGAAATAATCACTGCCCCTCCATTTTCTGGGGAAACACATAAAGATTGCCTAATTTAAGAGAAAAGTATCACATTGTATGAACTGATAATCCGGGACACAGAGTGTTTCAAGAATGCCATTATTTGTGGTATTGTTAGGGCTAAGTCCCACCGAGCAGGTTGTGACTCATAGTGACCCTGTACAGGATTTTCAGGAGCAGCTAGTGGTTTTGAACCACTAACCTTGAGATTTGCTGTCTAGTGCTTAACTACAGTGCCACACCAGGATTCCTATTTGTGGTATAGAAATTAATATACAGTTGAAGTCCTGGTGTGGTGTTTGCTGTAGGATAAGCACTGAACTACTAGTCACATGGTTGGCCTGGTTTCACTCCTTGGAAACCCTTACAGGGTTGCTATAAATTAGAACTGACTCAACAGCACGGAACAACAGCAACATATGTATTGTTTGTTGTTGGGAAGTGCCACTGAGTCAGTTCCAACTCATAGTGACTGTGTATGGGGTTTCCAAGGCTGTAAATCTTCGTGGGAGCAGAAAGCCTCATCTTTCTCCTGTAGAATGGCCTTGAACTGCTGACCTTATGGTTAGCAGTCCAGTGCTTATCCTACAGCGCCACTGAGCAAGCCCCTCCTCAGGAAAAACATGAGGCCATCTGCTGCCTTGCAAACCCTAGGGAGCAGTTCACCGTGCCACCCATGTGGGTTCCTGCTCTCCCATCCTCACCAAGTGGTGCCAGCCATGCCCCCATCTTAGAGCTCTTTAAAATGCCAGCAAGGAACAAACACTGGGACGGAAGTACCCTAAAGTGTGCTGTTAGGGAATCACCAAAGCCAAACCCACTGCCACCCCGTGATTCTGACTCATGGCGACCCTATAGGACAGGGGCTGGCTGTTCTCAGCATTTCTGAGACTATAAAGCTTTACAGAAGCGACTGCCTCAGCCTTGTCCCAAGGAGTGACTGGTGGGTTCCAACCTCTGGCCTTCAATTAGCAGCCTAACACTTACCTCCTTGAAGAAGTGAATTGGTGAAGAAGGGAAGTGATTATCTACAGGATACTTGTTGAGCCCAGAGGAGCTCTTCTTAAATGTCCCCAGGAGGACAGGCTACCTGACAATATCAGGCAGGCATGCTGCTGCCAGGACGCCAAGTGGGAGACCCTTGATCTCCAACATCCAGAGAAGGTAGGGCAAGCACTGGAGTTGAGTCCTCCAACCCAGAGATTCTGGAGTTCTCACTATACTGGTATATTATCAAGAAGCTGAAAAGGATTTGTACTATTTAATGATTTTTAATGGCTGCTTTTTGTTTGCAATGGAGACCCGGTGTGTGTAGGATAAGTATTGGACTGCTAACCACAAAATTGACCTTTCAAACACATCATCTGCTCCTTGGAAAGCCTATACAGGGTCGCTGTAAGTCAGAACCAGCTCAGTGGCACTAACAACCACATACGCAGCTACTCCTCAGTGCTCTTTATTGACGTGTTTGTAGTCAGTTACTGTAGTTGTGACAGAGGCCTGGTGTGGTGCCATCGGATAAGCACTCGACCTCATGGTCAGTTTGAACTGCAAGGTCAGTGGTTCAAACTCAGCAGCCACTCCTCAGAAACCTTATACAGGGTCTCTGTGAGTTGGAACTGACTCAACAGTATTTAACAACAGCTACTATGTTTTTGAGGGTTTGCATTTACGCCAGCTTTCTTACACCTGTTTTTCATTTTCAGAAATGTATAGGTCAGTCTGTACTAAAAACTTCGTGCTCAGAACCTGTGACTCTGGCCCTGCCATGTGGACTTTCCCAGCAGACAACCTCACTGGCTTCTCAGACGGTGTCAGGAACTCAGCCGGCATCTGGGAAAACCAGAACTGCTTCCTTCTCTCAAGTGAATAATGTGAACAGCCCTGAGTGGCAAGACTGTCCTGGAAACATCCCTGTCCAGATTTTTGTTCCAGTCGGTGAGGACACATACTCCAAGTCGAGTGAGGAATTGTCACCGCCACCCCCGCCGCCTCCTCCTCCACCACCGCCGCCACCGCCTCCTCCTCTCCCACCACCTCTTCCTGCTTTGCCCTTTTTTCCTCATCGGAACTTACACTTCAGGACTTCCGGAAAAGATGAACAGCCACTTCCACTGGTCTGTGAACCACTTCCTGAGAGACCAAGGGATTCTTCTGGAAGTTTTAAATGCCCAGGTAGTTGCTGGAGTTTTGTCTTTTCTCCCTATGGAGTGTTAAGTTGTTAAGCATTCTAAATTTAGAAGTCGACATCTTCAAATCAAGATCTTTCTCAGAATTCTTAATATATTGCAGTATTTGTGCCTTAAGTTGTTGTTGTTAAGTGCCTTGGAGTTGGTTCCAACTCATAGTGACCTGTAGAGGGTTTCTGAGGAGTGCCTGGTGAATTTGAACTACCCATCTTTCATTTCAAATCAACCTTGCGGCCTAGTGCATTAGCCTGCAGCACCATACTAGGACTACATTGCAAATTTGTTGTTGTTATTGTTAAGTGCTATCGAGTCAGTTCCGACCCATAGCGACCCTGTATAGGGTTTCCAAGGAGTGACTGGTGAGCTGAACTACCAACCTTGTAGTTGAAACGGTTTTGCAGTCTGGTGCATTAACTTGTACTGCCACACCAGGACTGCATTGCAAAGTTAGTGTGGTCTAAATTGGAGTTTGATCAATGGAAATCACCTTGAAAAGAAGCATCTACAAATTTATTGATCACATCTTGGGATTTCTGAGGTCATGAAATAATCAACCTATTTCTGGTTTCTTAAGACTTCAATTTATATTAGATTTCTGTTATTTGAATATTTTCCCACACTGCTTTGAATTAAGCTTACTGTGTCTCTCCAAGTCATTTGCAGAATTAAATTGTTGGAAATTACTATAGAGGAATATGAACCAGAGGCAATTCTGGCCGACTGAAAACCCAATTATTGGGTTTTTTAAAAAATTGGTGGGCGACTTTTTGCCTTGAAATTTTTGCCAATACACTGAGTACAACTGAATATTCTTTTGTTTAGTAAGAGTTGTGGTTCTAATTGTAATTATGGCTTTTGATACTATTTAGGAGATTGGCTGAAATCTGCCCAGACTTCGGACTGTCACTTTGGGATTTATTTTGCTGTGTATGCGTATTTTTTAAAGTTAACTTTTAGCAAAATGCCCTGTTCATGTATTTAACAAATACAGCACTTCCCCTGGGAGCTGCCATGTTCCTGTGATGAGCGATGTGAATGGTGGAGCCACAGCTGCAGGTTTCACTGGACCTAGAGCCAGGCTCCCATGGGCACAGCGCATTAGTAAAGGGAAGACAGTGTTAGAGCCAGGTTCTGATGGGCACAGCCACATTAGTAAAGGGAAGACAGTGTTAGAGCCAGGCTCTGATGGGCACAGCCACATTAGTAAAGGGAAGACAGTGTTAGAGCCAGGCTCCGATGGGCACAGCCACATTAGTAAAGGAAAGACAGTGTTAGAGCCAGGCTCTGATGGGCACAGCCACATTAGTAAAGGGAAGACAGTGTTCTGTCTCTGTTACCCAAAACAAGAGCTTGCATGCCTATACCCCGTCTGAGTGTGGCTGTGGGCAGCTATTTGTGTGGGCCCTGGGGTTTCATACCCAACTGCCTCATTCTACTGAAAAGAATAAGAAAGTGGGAATTACCACCAAAAAAAATAGGCTTGATTGTGAAACCTGGTCCTTTACATCCAGAAGGGGATTGTAGTAAGTCACAGGAGAGACTCCAACGTGAAATAGTATTTTCTGTGCTGTAGCACGGTTGTTAACTTGTGATGTAGCAATGTAATCAGTCGTGAAGCCTTACCTGGAAGAGCTCTTGGTGGCCACAGTCATAATCCCGTCCACACAAGTAGTGAAGATTTTTACCTGCTCAGGGATTTCAGAGTGGCAGAGAGGTGAAAAATTGCTTCTCCTCGTCCAGGCCCTGACACTGTGATCTGGTTTGTGTTTTGACAGCATTTCACACTCTCTGCACTAGAGCATGTTAGCCCCTCAGGTGATGTTGTTGTTATTGTTAAGTGCCGTCAAGTCAATTCTGACCCATAGTGACCCTGTATAGGGTTTCCAAGGAGTAGCTGGTGAGCTTGAACCACTGACCTTGCAGTTCAAATGACTTTGCAGTCTGACGCGTTAACCTGCAGCGCCACCTCAGGACTCCTCAGCTGATGCAGGTGGACTGAACCCCAGTATCTGCAGTAGAAGGTGCCAGTGCCGCCCCTCCCCGGCTCAGTGAGCTTCCCTGGCAGCCCTTTGATGTGGGAAAGCTACTTACTTCAGTGTCGTAGAAGGAATCCTCACACAGTACTAGTGTTCCATCGAGTGGGTGAAATGTTAAAAATAAAGATGTTTTTTAAAAAGTCTGAAGGGAAGAAAAGGCACTACATTTTTCAGAGCACCAAAGTCATGCGTATTGGATCAGATTATGTACACCGGAGACATCCATTACTCTTACGAGTCACACGGAAAGAAGTCAGTCTTGAAAACCAGCTATCCTAACAAAAGGTTTGCGTGACTCTGCCTCTAAGTTGCTGTGGATTTGGAGACGTTAGTGGAAAGTAAGCAGCCACGGCAAAGTATTAGCTATTAAACTATTCTGGGGTCAAACGGGGAGCTTATTATTCATTTGTCGAATAGATAAAGCATTTGTTTAATGGACTGATGATGACTTGTTTAAGTCATGACATCAGCTAGTATGTGGTGAAGAGTGTTTTCTTGACAGTCATTGCTATCTTTACTCTATTTCAGGATCCATGGATGAAGTGTTGGCCTCATTAAGGAATGGCAAGAGCCCTCTCCAGAAAATGCACGTGCCCACCCTGCTGCCTCCCCACACCTCAGTCAATGAGCACATTCTGGCCGCCATTAGACAAGGAGTCAAACTAAAGAAAGTCCACCGAGACTTTGGCTTGAGCCCCAGCACCAAAGCCACCAGCGACCTAGAGAGGAGCATCGAGGCGGCCCTCCAAAGAATCAAGAGAGTGTCTGCTGACTCTGAGGAGGAGGAGGAGGATGAAGGCAGTGAACAGAGCCCCGATGACTGGGACCAGTAAGCTCTTCTCCAAGGACAACAAGGCCAACCCACCAGAGTGTGCGTGAATGAAGAGAGAGGAGCACACAGAGCGCCGTCAGACTAGCCACAGAGCACCCTGAAAGATCGGTAGGGCTTTGAGGGTTATAAAAAGACAGCTTTTATCTGATGGTGTGGCTTTTTAAGATTGAGAAAGGAAGGAGCGATGTGGTGACTTCCCACGCCAAGCCAGAGTGGGGATCTGAGCGCCCATGGTATATGTGGCTGGCATCAGAGATTAGCGCTAATTTTTCACCATGGATAATCTAGAATCATTCCTGATTCTGAAAGAAAGTTTACATCATCATGGTGACCAGCACTGTTAGCCTACTGCTGGTGTCGTGTGTGTGTGTGTGTGTGGGGGGGGGGATAATAATTGCTTCTTCAGAATGAAAGATTTGAATGTGAACATTATTTTAGCAATAATCAGAATAAATTGCTTATATTCAGAAGTCATTTTAAATAAGATTTATTTTATGTATCAAGTACTACATAAACTCACAATAAAGAACTATTTATAATGATTGGTGTCATTCATGAGGAAATGGAAATGGAACACTTCAACTGATGTAATCAGTTTCTTATGGTTTCCAAAGCAAAACCCTCCCTGCCTAAGTAGGTTTAAAATTTTTAGTAGGAGTTCAGCTAAACTATTTGTTTAAGCAAATACGAAGGGTGGGACTAATGGTTTCCCTCTGGAACTGAAGTCTCAGCTGTGAGTGTTTCCCTCCCTCCTTCAGGTAATAGTGAGAAAGGGGAAGGGAGACAATACCAGGCAGTCTGCTGGCTTGTCCAGTGTGTCCCCACTGACTTCCTAGGCCTCACTCTTTGTCATGTCATTTCTGGATCGCCTTTCTTTCCAAAGGGCAGGGCTCCTTTCTAGAGCTTCTAGGGGAGAGTTTCCTTGCCTTTTCCTGCGTATGAGGCTGCCAGGCTTCCTTGGCTGTGGCCTCTTTCAGCTGCAAAGCCATTACCTCACTGACCCTTCTTCCATTGCCACACTACTCTGACGACAGTCAGAAGGAAGGTCTAGGCACTTGTGGTTGCACTTACCGACCAGTCGAAAGGTGGACCATTTGAACCCACCTGGTGGCACCGGTGGGAGGAAAGACTGGTGATCTGCTTCTGTAAAATTACAGCCAAGGATCCAACAACATAGCAAAGAAAAAATAACCAATCACGATCAAGTGGTATTCATGCCAGGTGTGCAGGGATGGATAGGTGTTAGAAAAACAATTGACGTAATCCACCACATAAAAAAGGAAAAAATCCCATGAGTGTATCAACTAATGCAGAAAAGGCATTTGACAAAAATCTAACACCCATTCCTAGGAGCTCT